GGGGGAGAGTGACAGAAAGCTGGGAGGGGCTATGCTGCCCTTGACAGTCTGGATTCCTGCCCTGGGCGGAAAGCCCACTGGAGGCGGGCGTTGGGTACCGGGAGATGTGGCTGGGGTGTCTGGCATGGGCTAGAGTAAGGAGCTCAGGGGGCAATAACCAAAGCAGAGTGTCCGGGACAGGGGAGGAGCTGGCCTCACTCACCCTGCCGTGTCAGCCCAGCTGAAGAATCGGGTCCCTGGGTCCTGCTCTGTGACCGGCCTGGAGCTGGTGGCCGAGGTGAACCGTGGATTGAGACGTGGGTTAGAGGTGTGGTGGGAGGCAGACACTGAGCTATCTGACCTTGAAGCATGTAATTCCCAGCCTCAAATCGAGAATGGATGGGAGGTGGGGCCCCCGAGGTTGGAGCTGGGACCCTTGATTTGAAGCTACAGGATGACATTCCTCCCAAGATACGAGAACACTTAGCAGCTGGAGCTGCCAAAGAATGAGAGGCTGCACTGAGCGGTAGTAAGTTCCCCATCACTGGAAGCATGTAAGTCAGTGGGGGGAAGGACAGGCAGGTACATGTGATGCATGGAGGGGGGTGGTTCCTGGGATCCCAGGTCGGGGGCAGAGGGGAAGATAAACAAGCCCCTTCTCAGGGGCAGAGCTGGGGTTGGGCCCAACTCTGACCTCCAGGTCCCTCCCAGCTTTTTGGCTGTTTCACCACCCCTGAGAGAGGTCCCCATAGACTCCGCTGATCTGTGACTCTAAGTCCTCCTCTGCCAAAGACCACGCCCAGTCCAGTTCCACAGGTGCTGCAGGCAAGGGAGGGCTGGGTGGCTGCAGGCGGGGGTGAGGGGTGGGGACACGGGTTCCCATGATGGAGCCTGTGCCCCAGCAGGGCGCCCCTGGCCTCCTCGCTGTTCCGCAAACACACCCATGCCATGCCCATCTCAGTGCCGCTGCATTTTCCCCGCTCTCCCCGGCCTGCTCCCACACTTGGTTCAGTCTCTGCCTCATAGAAGCGCTCCCTGACCCCGGTTACCTAAGAGAGCACCCTCGCCCTTCGCGGAAGGGCCAACACGCCCCTCCCCTGCTGCTGACAGCTCATGACTCGGTCCCTTCTTGGGCACTCCGGGCCCCAGGGAACTGCCTCACCCAGGTTTCACCTCCTCAGGCGGTGGCCAGTGGCCAATGGCCACTGTGGGACCTCAAGCCCCACCACTTTGCCTTGACTTGGGACAAGTCTGAAGGGCCATCCAGCTCCAAGCTCTCTACGGGAGAGCCGAGGCCCCAGCTCCTCCCTCTGCCCCGTCGTGCCCTCCTGGCTTGCTGACAGCCTCTGGAGAGTTCTCCACACTAAACCTTCCGCCACAGCTCTCCATCTCAGAGTCCGGTCCTGGGAGCCCTAAGACAGCCTGCTACACTGTCTTCCTGTCACTCCGACATATGCTTCTTTCCTCACCGTCTCCCCATGTTCGAATGCCAACTCCGTGAGAGGAGGACCTTGCCTGGCTCACACCTCTAGACCCAGGGCCTCACGGCCTGCCTGCCACTCGTGGATGCTCAAGGACACTTGAGGTGTCCTTGATGAAGGTGGATGAATGAATCAAGTGGCGGAGAGCTTGTCGTCCTGAGGTGAGTCCTGGGCACTAGGATTGATCTGTAACAAGTGCACATCTCTGGGGCTTCCAGACGTATCGGCGGGGAGGGTCCCTCTAACAGGGTGGTCTTCCAGCAGCCAAGCAGGTAGGCCCTCAGTCACGGTCATCTGCGTACTCACGTCCAAGGGCAGACGGTCTGAGACACTCAGGTCACACGCATGCTGTAGGGGACTCCTGCCACCAAAGAGGAAGGGGGTGCTGTCTAAAGCCTGAGGTGACCCTGGCCTGCTCCTTCGCCAGCCTTGGGCCAGCAGCTGAGGGACAGAGCCCAGCAAGTCAGAGCCTCTGGCAAGCACCTGCCCTAGGGCCAGCCTGAGCCAGCCGTGGGAGGACAGAGAACAGCCTGAAGTGCCCCCAAAGTGATCCTGCCTTTTCACGGGGCTTCTGAAAACCTCATCTACTTGAAGCCTTCCAGTCAAATGCAGCCTGTTAATCCAAAAGGGGGCAAAACCGGAAAGGGGGGTGCTTTATCCCCATTTTGCAGATGAGGAAACTGACGATCTGAGAGGGAAGCTGGAATACAGGAGGCTCCAGGAAATGGCTTCCCCGGTTCAAGATTCTAATACCCTTGCCACGTAAGTCTGCTGGAAATGAACTGAGGACCTTTCTAATGGATCAACAGGATGCTTAAATATATGACTAAATGAGAATCTGTTCACATGTTCACAATGGCAGTGTCAAAATCTTAGTTCCAAAAGTCTGCTGCTTAGAAGTCCCTATGGTGGGATTTTTACACCAATAGTGTGACATCCCCCACACAGTGCTTCCCTGCTTCCTTCCCCCAGACTCCCTCTGACTTGGCGGGCAGTCTGTTCTCAGGCCTTAAGGCCAAACAGGCCCTTAAAATCATCCTGCATTTCTTCCCTTGCTGTGTTTAACGAGGAAAGGAAGGGAAGAAGGTGGTGCGGGTGAGGCAGGTGGGCATTTGGGATTTGGGGAAGTGGGCACATCTCTGTGGAGGGGGCAGCTGTCATCACACAGCTTTCCAGCTCTTCACACTACACCACATGGTCTCTGAGCCTCAGTTTCCTCATCTGTACAGAGGATGAGACCCACCAGTCCTGCCTGCCTCACCTCGCAGATCAGCTACAAGGGGCTTGAAGGGAGAACGCAGTGGGTGCCAGCCTCCACAGCTCAGCTCCACAGTGGACACACCAAGGCCAACCATTAGGGCTGTCCTCATTCAGTGGGCTAGGACGAGGCACGCTGCCCAGGCCTGCCCCGCAGCACGGGCCCCCTCCCAGGGCAGTCCTCAAGCTGCAAGTCGTCTGCCAACTGTCCGCTTACTCGCAGCCTCCGTCCCACATGTTCAAGACTCAGACTTGCTTTGCCCTCTCACTTGCCATTCTTCCCCCGGTCTCCGGGGGCTTCAGCCTTCTCAGCCTGCCTTCCAGCCACCACCATCACTCGCCCAAGAATTACGGCACTGGCCTCCAGCGGGACCCATATAGTTGCCCTGCCGACTTATCCTCCACACTCCCACCCAAGCGTTCTCAAAAAAATCCCTTTGACTCAGCAATTTTGCAAGGAACTTATCTGACAGCTATGTTGGCAAAAGTCCTCTAAGACATGTGAACAAGGATGCTCACTGCAGCACTGCTTGTAATAGGTAACGACTGGGGACAACTCAAATGTCCATCGATAGATATGAATGCGGCTGCTCTAAAGAACGAGGTGGCTCACGTGTCCTGATGTGGCAAGATGCTGCGATACCAAGGTATTAGGGGACGAAAGGAAGGTGTAGAAGAGTCTAGAGATAGGACGACACTGAGGACTGTACATACCTACGTTCTTATTATACACACACGTTTTAATGCTACTGCGTCAGGACCTCTAAGCTGTGCTTACAACCCTCAGGGAAGAGGACTAGGGCTTGTCGGTGGGTGACAACTTTATATATTATACTTTTCTGAGTTCTTTCAATTTTCACCATTTGTATGTAATGTAATAATCCTTATCTTTAAAATAAAAAGTAAAATGGGCAACAGGGCTCAGTGAATTCCCCTGGCCCCAGATCGTATGCCAAAGCAGCCTGAGGTGTGTGGCATTCAAGGCCCCTTGTGAGCTGGCCCCTCCAGCCTACCCTCCAACCCCCTGTGCTCCCAATTTCCCATCACGCCCGGCTCACCAGGATCCTCTGTGACTCTGCCTTTGCACACCACGTTGCCTGTTCCCAGTAACCCCTTCACACACACGCCACCACGAGTCTAATCTGTTTCCTTCTGGTAACCGCTCTTGCTGCCCCCATCCCTGCCCTGCCAAGCCCAAAAGGTAAGTTGTACAGTGGAAGGAGCACAAGCCTGGGAGTGAGAGATGGACAGGGCTGGAAACTCAGCTTTGCACTTTACAGCTGTGGTGGACGCGCAATGTGCACCAGATCTCTCTTCAGGGAGATCCTCCAGCAGCAGCAGGAAGCGTCCGCGGCTAACGGCTCTCAGCAAAGTCCCTCTGGGAGCTGTGCTCAGCCCGACAAAGCCACGTAACCCAAGGTCTCCCCAGCTGTGGGACCAGTGTGTATCCAAGGACTGGTGACAGGCCAATGTATTTGTAGAAAGGCTCAGCACCTTGCCTCTGGGTGGGACACCTCTGCTCTGGAGTGCCCACCCAACTGGGAAGTGGCCGAGGCCACAGGTGCAAACCCACTGAGCCCAGTCTCTGCTCTGCCCAGAGCTGCCGCCATCACCCCCCACACGGCCTGATCCCCAAGGTTCCCCTCCCAACTTGCACCTGCAAATCTCCATCTCAAAATGTTTCCTAGGGAAGCTGACCTAAAACACCAGCTGTGTGGCCTTGGGCAAATTCCTTACACTATCTGTTTCCTCATCTTTAGGGCCCAGAACAGTGGCTGGCACATAGCAGGCACTCAACAAGCTTCTTGAGTTGTATGAGGATTAAACAAGATGCTGTGTATAAGGTGCCTGGCCCAGAGCAGGACTTGATGCTATTTGAACAAAACAAGGCCAGCTGAACCAGGGATGTACTCAGTCCATTAACCAGGATACTAGTGAGAAATCTACAAGGAATATTCTATGCAGAATTTCTACAGTCATTGTGGAAAGTGTCCACAGTTTAAACAACCCCATAAGAACCTAGCGACCATCACAGAGCACCTACTATGTGGCAGACACTACACAGACATAATCTATAGTCTTCAAAATGAGGTAGGTCATATTAGCCCCAAGTTTCAGATGAAGAAACTGAAACTCAGGGAGATGAAGATTCTTATCTATAAAAGTCACAAAATGGGTCGTGGGCAGAGCTGGGCGTAAGGTGAGGCCCTAGGGCCTGCACTTGTGCAGAGGCAGGCTCACAGCAGGGCCCCTCCTGGCAGCACCCTCACACCAGGCACAGGCTCCAGTGCACCGGAAGGGCTCTTTATTGTCAGCGAGACCACCAGGCCAAAAGATCCCCAGGGCTCCGGGCCGGCCCCAGGCACCGCCCAGGACGCAGGATCTTCAGTGGGAGAGGGGCGAGGGGGCTTCAGGCCTCAGAACAGTCCTTGGCTCACACAGCACCGTGCAAATACAGAGCTAAAAACTTCCTGAATGTCTCTGGCTGGAAACCAGTCGGCCCAACAGGTTCCTGGAAAGAACACAGCCCATTAGGATCCTGCTACTAGGTTTAATGGCAGCAATTAAAACAAAAGTCAGTTTTATGTAAATCCTAAGTGCCTGCATCACAACCGTTTCTTTCTCTGTGACCAAGGAGGGGTGCTGGGAGCTGACCAGGAGAGATGTGGGGGGGGGGGGGAGTGGGGGGTGGAGAGGATGGAGGACAGGAAGCACTTCCAGCACCTTCCAGCCAGACCGTCTGCCGACACTGTCCCTAATCCCTCTCACTTCAACCACCACAAACCACCACCTTCTCCCTCGTTCTGGAAACCCAACGTGACCTGAGTTTGGCTCCTGCCCTCAGAGAGCTTACAGCCAGATGCTCAAACAGTGATAATATAAGGTGATGGACCTCATATCAGAAGTAGGAAAAAGACGCTAAGAAAGCAGGGGAGAAAATGACGAACTTACTGACTTCCCTACACGGAAGAGACCATGCATGAATGAGTCTTAAAGGGCAAGCAGAATGGGCCAGAAAGAAAAAGAAAAGGAAGGAGTCTTCAGCGAGACCAGGATATGCACTGGTCCAGAGAGCCAGGGTGAGGCTGGAGCCCAAGGCCTGTGCTGGGGGCGGGGAGACAAGCAGGGGCAGGAGCTGAAGTTGGAGAAGTAAGGAGGAGTCATCTGACTGAACCAGGACGGCTCTGGCACTAAGTTAGTATTCTGGAAGGAAGAGGAGCTGAGGAGCTGAAGACATGCAGGAGAGAGGGAGCGCGTGACTAAGAGCAGAGACAAGCGAGGTGGCTGGTGTAGCTGTGCAGCTGAGACACAATGGTGTCCGGGGCCAACGAGAAGGGCCCAGACCCGGGAGGCATTTCAAGAGTAGAAACAACACCGACAGGTGCTGGACAACTCATTCTACCACCGACATGCTGATAAGGTTCAAAGGCTCAGCAACTCCACTGAGCAAATCTACTCAGGCCCCGGGCGGGCCACGGGACACAGCGAGACCCAGAGCCGGCAGCACCCCCTACTCTGCTCTCTCTCGTCTCCGAGCCTGCTTTGTCTCTTCAGAGTGCTGATCACTGCCTGACGTTATATTCTGAATTTACTGAGATACTGTTGCTGTCCACTGCACAGAAAGCAGGCCTGGACTCTGTCTGCTGAGCACTGGGGGTGCAGCAGTGACAATGCCATGGGAGGAATTCCATATCTGTGGAACGAAATGAAAGAATGCATCCTCCCCGGGCTCAGTATGATAGAGGAGAAAAACATGTAAACAGATAACTACAGAACAGTGCTGGGTGGGGACTGGGAGGCTGGGAGTGGGATGGTGGGTCCTTATGCTAAACCCAGAAGGATAGGTAGAGGATGGCCAGACAAAAGAGAAATGGGGGAGGGAGAGGAGGGAGAAATCTCCTATACAAAAGCAGCAGCATCTACTAAGATCCAGAGCTACTTAAGCCGCAGGGCACACTGGGCAGCTGTGAGATGCTGGGCGTGGAGGGGTGTGGGGGAAGCAGGAGGTGAGGGGAAGAACTGGGCAGGGCCGAGGGTGGAAAGTGCCGTTTTAGGTGATGGGCAGGGATGAAGCAGCCCTCCAGGCACAGATCCTAGGCACTCAGTTCCTAAAGCCAGGGTCCCACTCACAAGCCCACCCCAGGCTCACTCTGGGTACGGCGGCCATGGCCCTGACCCAATCACCAGGCTCCAGATGGCTGCACTTACCACAACCACTTTCTTTTTGATCACTGGGAGACACCAAAAGTGCTGATAGAGAAGCTGGTCTGAATCCACCCAGACCAGATTCTTGATGCCCTCATTGGAGGCCAGATCCGTGGTGTTCAACTGTAACACCAAGAACTGGAAGACACGTCCGTCGGTGCCCACACTCTGCACAACTACGGGCTGCTCCAAAACCTTAGTGTCATTCTGAGAGGAAAAGAGGACGGGTAAATCAAATCAGAAACTGTTGGGTGTGAGAACAGACAGACCAAGCAATTTCTAGTCCTGGCTTTAACACAAGCACCCACTCCCCTTTCACGGTTTCACCACGGGGCAGTGAGAACAGAAGGAGCAGTTCCGGGCACTGTCAAGGGCCAGGCCTTCCCTCCCTCACCCAGCCTGGTTCTGCCTGGTCTCATGCCTCGTGGCCCCAGGGTGCCTGCTCTGCAAGCTGAGCACATTCAAGTACTAATTCCTGCCATTAGAGGCGATTACCAAGCACACAGTACAGGAAGGCGAGCTGGGAGGTTAATGACAGGAAATCCCTCAAACTCATGGCGTTACCTGATGGCGACATCAGCTCTACCAAATGTTAACCTGGAGGGTCAACGAACAGATGTCATCTCATTCAGTTCTCACTCCATTTGACAGATGACGAAACTGAGACTCGATGAGGCAAAGTGACTTGTCTGAAGTCACAAAGACGTGTGGCACTGGAACCCAGACTGGCTAATGCTAGACCACGCACATTTTCCATTTCTGCCTTATTCCAAAGAGCCTGGCATCAGGGAATGCCCTAAGCCTGCAGGAGGTCATCGTCCCTGGGCTTCCTGCTCTCGGTGCAACTCTCAGAACATATCAGATTCCCAGAGTGTCCACTCCAGCTGCGTCAGCATCAGGATTTCACCAGTCCACATATCTGCTAATTCTCTCTTTCAATTAGTGCCACTTGGTAAGAGTAATAATACCAGCACCCATTTACTGAAGGCCTCTCATGTGCCATGCATGACGGCAGTTTGACGTAGTCACCTCTAATCTCCTAAATCTAGCAGTACATTTCCACTTAACAGATGAGGAAACCGAGATTCACAGAGGTGGGACAATCTGCTCAAGGTTACCTATCATGAGGTGTGAGCCAGGATCAGACCCCACGCTATGAAATCACTAACAATGCTATCATTCTGGTTTACACCTGGTGTCCCACTGTATCTGAGAGCAGCCCCTCTTTCCACTCCCAGTAGTGTCCTAGTTTGGATAATGACTCTTATGCTCACCCTACTGAGACTTCGCAGCAATCCAGTTTGGTGACTGCTACCCACTGGACAAAGATCCAATAGGCAGGCCCTAGGAAGCAGAGCATCCTTGATCCAAAAACGCTCCCACATTCACTGCTTCAGGGCTGAATCTGACATTAGGAACAGCTAAAGTCAGAGCTCGGTGTGGGCCACACTGGGACTGTTGGCCTTAGAAATACCTGTTCTAAGCTGCATGAGAAATAAATAAAAAGAAAAGTACCTCTAAGTGTTAGCTGAGAATTCTGTATTGACTCTTATCTCCCTCTACAGATCAATAAAACTGCAGGTAGTACATAAATTTCTCAGCAATTTTACCTTTTACACGAAGGCTCTTCCCATAATTGCTCAACTTCACATCCCCAGGAATAATTTGTACCTGGAGGGGCTGGGGAAGCCTCCTCTCCTACCCAACCGAGTGGCAATTAGTGGCAGCATTGCTACCCATGCTCTGCTGGCAATAGCTGGCACAGACGCTGCAATGAGCCTGCAGGCCTGGGACCTGGCATGTGACTATCTCTGCCTCCTTCCCCTGCAGCAGAGTGGGGAGACAGCATATCCTTCAAAGCCGGAGGGATCAGGGCTCCAATGCTTGCTCCCCACTCATTAGCTGTGGATCTTGGGCAAGTTACCTAAACTTCCAGAGCCGTCAGGAAGTATACAGCCAGAGAATGAGAATAAAGATAACTTCCCAAGGATTGGAAAGACACAAGAAGGTCACATAAAGATGTGACAGCTGCTCATCTCTTAGCTGTGTGACCTTGGCAAGTTACTTAGCCTCCCTGAGCCTCAGTTTCTTCATCTGTAAAATGAAGCTAACAGTACCTGCCACAGAGGGTTGCTACAAGGATTAAATAATGCAGTGGTTCTCAAATTTCAGTGCAGTGGTTTATAGACTTAAGTCTGTACCAGCATCATCTGGCAGGCTTGTTCAAACGCTGACTGCTGGGCCCACCCGAGTTTCTGATGTAGCAGGTCTGGCTTGGATCTGAGAATATGAATCTCCAACAAGTTCCCAGATGATGCTCATGTTGCTAATCCAGAACCATATTTTGAGAACCACCAATATAAAGACCCTAATTAAACGTCTGGCATGGGGGTCAGCTGGTGGCATAGTGGTTAAGTTCACACACTCTGCTTTGGTGGCCAGAATTCGCAGGTTTGGATCCCGGGCGCGGACCTACACACTGCTTATGAAGCCATGCTGTGGCAGGTGTCCCACATACAAAGTAGAGGAAGATGGGAACAGATGTTAGCCCAAGGCCAATCTTCCGCAGCAAAAAGAGGAGGATTGGCAACAGATGTTAGCTCAGGGATAATCTTCCTCACCAAAAAAAAAAAAAAGTGGGGAGGGTGAAGGGGGTAAAGGGGCACATATGTATGGTGATGGATAAAAACTAGACTTGGTGGTGAACACGATGCAATCTATAGAGAAATTGAAATATAATAATGTACACCTGAAATTTACACAAGCCAATATGACCTCAATAAAGTAATTGAAAAAAAAAAAGTCTGGCACGTAGCAGATGCTCAATACAGGAAAGTCCATTCCACTCCCTAGCTCATTTGGCTAACCACACCTCCCCAACCCCACCTAGTTCCTAGACTGAGTAGGAGGGGAAACAGAACACTCTGAATTTCATCACTCCTCCAGGAGGGCCTTAGGCTCTAACTAAGACCTAGGAACCAGATAGCAGCTCTCAGAAACACGCTTCTCCCACTGTCCCCTCCAAAAAACCAGGTATCTGGTGTTCCAGGCCTGCTGGGGCCTCCCATATTACCATCCTCTCCCTGAGGGCCCTTGCTCTCGGGCCAGGCTTTCCCCTAATCTTGGGACAGCTCTGTGCGACAACCACTTGGCCTGCATTCTACACCATCTTGGTCCCTGAGACCTCCTCTTAGAATCAAGGGGCTACCACCAAGTCAGAACCTGTCTTGACTTGGCATTTGGACCATCTCTACTGCTTCACTTCCTCCTGCCTGCCCGATGGAGCCTCGTGCTCCAGTTCCGATAGTACAGAACAGAGGCAGCGTGCTGCAGCACAGACAACTGAAGCCTTAGGAGGTGGGTACACCTGCTGCCAATCCTTTCTCTACCACTGACTGCTATGTAATGCTAGACAAGCCACTCAGCCTCCCTGTGATTCAGTGGCATAATCTGGAAAATTGGGATCACAATGAAACGTTGTAGGCTACTATGATCAACAAATGAGGTATTTTATGTAAATGACAGGCACACAGTAGGCCCCAGCAGATGTCAGTTCATCTCTGTAGGGTGAATGGAAACGCCTATCCCTAAAACTCCTCAGTCCAGCAAGGACTCCCCCCAGACCCCCTTTCTTTCTTTGAGCAGAATAATGCAGGAGACTAACACCACGCACAGCAGCTCGGTGGTCTTCTCCACATACGTACCCCATAAAGGAGCCGGGCCTGAGCCAGGGCATTGGCAAAGGCAAACAGAATCATCTTGGCCCGCAGCTGATCTGGTTGAAAGCGGTGTGGTCGTAAATTGGCTTTCTCCAGGAAATACAGGGTGTGGGGATAGGGGTAAGGATAACCCTCCTGGAATCCTGCAAGATATGTAATCACGTGGAGGTGGAAAAGATTAATCAGCCTGCCCCAGAGCCTCAGGAAAGTCGCCTCAGCTCAGCGCAAGCACTTACACAGCCTCAGTCAAGGTGGGTATCATCACCTCAGCTCAGGGGCTGGCAAACTGCAGCCCGCAGCCAAATCTGGCCTCCTACCTGTCCACGCCCACTCACTGACATATATCTATTGAGTAGCTGTGATGGAGACCATATGTGGCCTGGAAAATTTAAAATATTTACTATTTAGCTCTTTACAGAAAATGTTTGCCAACCTTCGATAGGTGATTCCTGTGTGACAGCTCTAACTCCGTCCCTCTCTCTCATTCAAGCACACAGATGACAGTGATGTTAGTAGACGGATAACCTGAAATCTATGGTCATTATTTTTTTAAAAAGCAAATCATTTTCAAAATTCAATACTTTTATTAGTAACACATGACTTGCCTCATACTTCACAAGTGATCCGCACAACACTGGCGCTGAGAATCAAGGTTTAGCACTTGTTCATTTCAGCCATGGCCCTGCCAGGTCATCATTCTCTTCCCCGTAAGGGCTGTGAGTAAACCCTTGGTAGGCTGGGGGATTCTAGAATGACTGACCTGGATTAGTGAAAGTGGGTGAAAAGGAGGGAGAAAAGAGGCTGGGGAAATGTGGGTTCTGAAAATCCCAGAGGAGAGCACGACGTAAGAGAGAGAGACCTGGCTCTCCCGTCTGCCTCAGTCCTCGCTTCAGTTCCCCACACAGGTTAACACCCAACACTCAGCACTCACTGTGTGCCAAGCTCTAAGACAGGGACCAGGAACAGGGCCAAGCGGAGCCTGCCACTGCCTTTGAGGAGCTCACAAAGTCTGCAGGGGAGACAGACAGGAAAGCTGATCATATCCATATAGAGGGACACGTCAAGATACGAGGGGAGTCAGGGGGCTGTGGGAGGACAGAGTAACGGCCCCTGATGAGACTGGAAGAGCCCAGAGCATTTCTGGGAAGAAGTGATTTCTAAGATGAATTGTGCAAGATGAGGAGTTATCAAGCTGAAGACAAAAAGAGGTGAATGGTCAAAAGCTCCAGACAGAGGGAAGAGGAGGTGCCAACGAATGGTGGTGAGAAAGGGCAGGATGTGTAAGTGTAGTTGGAATAAGGGGGCCGTGTGTAGGGGAGGGCAGGCGAGATGAGGCTAGAGAGGGGCAGAGGACAGACGTGAAGGCCCTCATGTGATAAGCCTAGGAGTTCAAACTTCATCCAATAAGCAATGGGGAGGCAGGCATGGAGAGAGATGGGATTAAATTTGTGTTTTAGAAAGGCTCCTCTGGAACTGTGAACTAGACGGACTGGAGAGAAAATAGCCTGGGTCAGAACAAACAGTTGGGAGGTTGTGGCAACAGGCTGGGTGAGAGACAATAGGGACTGACCTAGGCTGTAGTTATGGAAATGAAAAGAGGTTAGGAAGAAGATGCTGCAGCTCATGACGACTGAGTGGATGGCAGGCATTGTGGGCCTGCCTAGCCTGACTCCCTAGTTTCTGTCTTGGCTGACCGAGTAGATGGAGGTTCCTTGTTTGATGGATTCTGGATGAAGAGCCACAGTCAAGACCTGGGGGGCTTCCTCAGTCCTAGTAGGAAGTTGGCCAGAGTCGACAGGGTAGATAGAAAGACGGTGTCTTTCAAGGGACCTATGAATAAAGGAAATATCTCGTGCCTGGTCAAAAGGCCCTCAAGCCACCCATTAAAACTCTGATTTAACAATTACTTCTCAGGGGGGTCAAAAGCAAAAGTCAGCCTTTGAGCAAATCACTTAACCTCCTTGAGCCTTAGTTTCCTTGCCTATAAAATGGGGATAATTGTACCTAGCTCACAGGCTGCTACATGGATCTTTGGAGAAAATGCACGTGAGGTCCCTAGCACATACTAAGTATCCAGTATATTCTGTCCCTTCAGAAAAAGCATGTCCCTGGGGCCAGCCCCGTGGCGTAGCGGTTATGTGCGCGTGCTCCGCTGCTGGCAGCCGGGGTTCGGATCCCGGGCACGCACCGATGCACCGCTTGTCAGGCCATGCTGTGGCAGCATCCCATATAAAGCGGAGGAAGATGGGCACAGATGTTAGCTCAGGGCCAGTCTTCCTCAGCAAAAAGAGGAGGATTGGTATGGATGTTAGCTCAGAGCTGATCTTCCTCACAAAAAAAAAAAAAGAAAAAGAAAAAGCATGTCCCTCATCTCCACGCTGCCTGAAAGTCAAAGGCTTTGATACTTACCTGTGTCGTCTTTCACATCATAAACATTGCTTTCCTGAAGATCAATAGTGGGAGATATGGGATAGAAGGTCTCAAGAACATGATTCTTAGTAGCTTCAACCTCCTCTCTGGAGGCAATGGGGGGCAGAGGATCCTTGGCATTCAGTCGGGCTCCACTAGAACCACGGACCTGAAGGAGAAGAGACTCTAAAAGAGGAGAATGACAATTAGTCTAGCCTGCTCTAAGCTCAGCAAAGTCTAAAGCCCTCATCCTGCCGTGCTCCAAGTCTTTTATAGCTTTCCTAGCTGATCAGACTAATCACAGAAAACAAAACTTTGGGTTAAGATGTTAAACCTGGGATTCTTGAGGGGATGAACCAATGCACTCTTCTTCCTGTGTTCCCCCTCCAATGAATCCTGAGGCCTGGTGGTCCAGAGGGTTCAGGGCTACCCAACACAGCTCTTCCCAAGCAGCTGCTCTAAGCTGGGGACCCAGACATGAGTGAGAGTTACTCTTGCTCTCAAGGAGCTTGCCAGGTAGTAAGTGCTACAACAAAAGTATGAACCATCCTAGGAGATTTAGAGGTGAGGAAACCTGACCTCCTCTGGGAAGATTCCTGAGAGAGGCAATGCCTTCAAACTAGGTTCTGAAGGATGGATGAGGGCAGAGTGTGTCAACTTTGGCACTCTTCACATTATAGACCAGGTAATTCTTTGGTGAGGGAGGCTGTCCCTTGCCCTGTAGGACGTTTGGCAACATCCCTGACCTCTCTATCCACTAGATGCTGGCAGAACTCCTCCTACAACCCCCTCCCCAATCCAGTTCAAGTCATGACAATTAAACATGTCTCCAGACAATGCCAAATCTCCCACAGAGGGCAAAACTACCCTTAGCTGAAAACCGCTGGGTAAGAGTTTGTCAGGCAAAGAAAGGGAGAAAAGCATTCTAGAGAAGGAGGAATAATGTGCAAAGGCATGGAAGTGCGCTAGTGCATGGCAGAGTTTCAGGAAATAAATCCACGCGACTAGAGTATGATACGGTAGGGAAGGAGGGATGGAGAGAGAGAAGCACTGAGACTAGAGGCCAAGGAGGAAGGCCATTAAACCCAGGAAAAGGGCCAGGTTGTCCTCAACAACCAGGAGTGAAAAAGATCGGGCCAGTCAGAAAGCCTCACTTAAGTCAGATTAGCGTAGTTGCTACAGGGAGACGCAGGTGCGCGAGGAAACAGACTCATGTCCAACCATCGGCAAGCCTGCCACTGTGAATGTGTGCAGACACCCTTCAAAGAGGTCCCCGCAGGAGGCCGCATGCCACCACCAGACAAAAAGTACCTGGAAAGACTCCTTGAGAATGGCCTCCTGAGGGTTCTCCATGGAGGTAAATCTTCCTGAGAAGGTACTTGGGTTTTTACAAATAGTCAATTCACAGTGTGATGGTAACAGATCAAGGGTGATGATCTTATGTCTAAAAACTGGTTTGGCCAACAGCACTGTCATCTAATTAGCATGTGGCCTCCCTTATTGGGTAGGTAAAAACAGGACAGCATATCTGTGGATGGATAAACTCTGATCTGCCTGATAAAATACATCATATTCACACCTCGAGAATAGTTTTCTAAAGTATTTCCTGTTTCCTCACGTAGAATCTGCAAGGAAGATAAATGTGCCTGGACCTCTCCTAACCCTGGGTTTTAGGTTCTCCCCACAGACCACTCTAGAGTGGTTTCCAATTCAATTCCCTCCACACCCCTCCTCCAGCGACAGCTCCAAATGGGGCAGTTTAATTAGCGCTAATATTTGATGATGGGCCAACAAGTACTCCTCTATTAATGAGGTTCACTATTTCCTTAGTGGCACCATTACCTCTGCAAAGCTGACTCCTTGCCCGGAGGTCCATACTTCCTGGGGCAAAGGAAGCAAGCTAGAGAAACCTGACCAAGCAGATGTCCTGAAAATCCCAAATTATTCCATAGCTGGTTTCCTTGCTCCAGGATTCCACCAATTAGAACACCATGTACTCTGAACACCCCTGCCCAAAACACCTGAGATTTGGTGTATTCACGCATTCCTTCAGTCAGCACCTATTGTGTGCCATGAACTGTTAGACACTATGGATAAAAATGAATAAGACATGGTCCCTGCCCTTGGCAGTTGAGCTTAGTAGGGCAGACAGAAAAAATGTTAGATAATTACAATATAGTATAACATGTGCTATGATAAAAATAGACATAATGGGTCTAGGGAACAGAGGAGGAATAGCTAACCTACGGATTCACATAGGAAGGGGGATGAGTCGAGACTTGCAGACAAGTACAATTTAGTCAAATGAGGAAAGTAGAAAAGAGCATTCCAGACAGGACCTATACCATGTGCCAAGGCACAAAGGTATAAAAGCTTGATGCCAAAAAGCTGCAAGTAGCTAAAGTGTAAATTTGGGGATGGGGTCGGGGCAGTCAAGCAGGAGATGAAGACTAGAAAGCCAGGTGGTGGCCAAGTCACAGATGGCCTGGGATACCAGGATAAATGGTTTAAGCCATTGGGGGACAGTGAAGGCTTTGAAACGGGAGGGATGTAGACTTGCACTTGAGAAAGATCACTCTAGCAGCTATGCGAACAATGGATTTGGCAAAGGAGGAAAGCATTAATCAGGTAAGAAAGCTCTTGCAGCAGAATATGAGCTTTGTCAGGGCAGAGACCGTACGTGCTTTAGTACTTCCTTACCTTCCACATTTAGGCACTCGGAGGTACTCAAGAGATATGGCTGAATGAACAGTCTTGGAAAGAAGTGATTAAAACAAAAAAAGGCTGGGCTAGGGCTAATGCTATTAAGGTTGTGCCTGAGCTTACAAAATTGGACCAGGAAGGATGGGAGTGAGGACAGGTATTGGAGGTAGGGTAGATGTGAGCTGGTGGTGCTAAGAGTAGAAAGATAAAAACAGACCAAGGCTTTCTGGTGTACAAGATGACCAACCTCGATTCCAGGTGGTGGATAACCTGTAGTTTTTGGCACAGAGCCGCCTGGCCAGAGAAGGATGCTTGAGAATCTGGGATTTACACAGCTGTATCAGACCGTCCACAATGACTGGGCTTGGAGAAAAGAAGAGACATTTGGAGATGTAAAGCAACAGGGTGACCCCAAGATCCATCAGCTGGAAATCTTATCGATTCGGGGAAACTTACCAGTAGGTCTCTCTCTTCGGGATTTCTTCAGTGGAGTGCCACAGACGGGCATGAGAGATCACATTCAGAACGCGTTCATCTTGGTTCTCTATGTGGCTCCTTGGATCGTCAACGAGGCTAAGCACTTTCTCAGGAAGGCCTTCTATTAACTTGGCCTTGGTAAGCCAGAGGGCCTGTTTTACACCTTTGGAGTTATCAGTCACAATAAACAAAAAACAAAAAAAGAAGACAATTCAGGAGGAGATGCTTAAGCCTGCCAGGCAGCATCTTGGGGAAAAGGCTGCCTCGAGAGAGAGGCAGGATTTGTTCTGTGACATCTGAAGGGTCAGAACTAAAAATAAAGAGTGAAAGCTAGAAGAGCCCAATTTCAACTCAACTTCAGGAATGACTGTCTACATAAGGATGGTTAACAGTTGATTACTGAGGCTGTTAGTGCCTGCCACAGGAGGAATTCAAAGATGGCTGAGATCATAAGGCTGGATCTTGCAGGCAAGGGTCTGTCAGCTGACCGCAGGATTCACAGACCCCAGACTATGGGACTAGATCAATGGATGCCAACCTTTCAAAACCTAGCCCTCTTCTATTAACCCAAACCTCAGCCTCTGACCGGAAAAGCCCACGTACACCATATACACCTCATTTATCAGGTGTAGGCCCAGGAGTAAGCCCATGCTGCTTTACCAAGGGAAAGCAGCTTTTGGAAATAATGGAAATAACTTCTGGATCAGGAATAACTTGAGAAGCCCTGAGTTTGGGAGCACTTAGATAATTTTTCACATCTCATCTAACCCTGAGATTCTATAATGAACTATTTTATAAGTGGATTTGTGTATGAAGCCCTATGAAACGTAGTGCCATATTTGTCAAAAGGATCATACTGACAACGTTCTATTTATTACACAGGGTCCTCCCTGAGACCTTCGGAACCTCTCCCTGGCCTTAGTATAGGAAGGTTGGGCTCTTCCTGGGTCTAGTACTGTTTTGTCTTATGGACATGGTAAATTGCATAACTAAAAATGTTTTTCTCTATCCCAGGGGTCAACAAACTTTTTCCTAAAGGGCTAGATAGTAAATATTTTCAGCTTCTGGCCCATAAAGTCTCTGTCACAACTACTCAACTCTGCCACTGTAGCACAAAAGCAGCCACAGGCAACAAGTAAATGAGTGGGCATGGCTGTGTTCTAATAAAACTACTTACAGAAACAGGCAACTGGCCTAGTCACCTGACCCTGTCTCTGCACCATTTGTTGACTGCTAGCAACCGAGAGCCCCTTTAGCAGGCAGTACCCCAGAACGGATTTTTTTGTACTCACCTCACTGTTTTTTATTTTTCCTTTGTGCTGGTTCCCTCACTCATCTAGTTTTAATTTAATGTACCTGTGTTGTAAATTTCTGTAAGATGCCCCAAAAACTTTTCAGGAAAAGATAGAGTACAAATAAACTAAAATAGATATGATTCAGACTGCTTAGTCTTTAAACATTAAGGAGCCTCAGCTCCTCTCAGTGGAACGGCCTGTGGTGCCGGGCAAAACTCCCTTGCTTCACTTTTCCAGACCTGGCTTCCTGAAGGGAGGAACAGGCACAGACCTAGGGACCTAAGCTCTGCATTAAGTCCACATACCAGGCCTCTACCCTCAGATCAGAGTGCACACTGTATTCTTTCCAATGACTGTGCCCGCAAGTTGACAGAGGCTGGTGACTGCTTTGGTTGGCAGGCTATTCATCCGAGCTGGAAAAACACCACTGTGACTCAGAGGCATATCTTCCTTTGAAAAGCTGTCTGGGATTAAAGGGAGCCTAGGACACTTTGGAGACGACACCCTCAGGCAATTTCTTTTGTGGTAATAAGAAAGGCAATGAGACTTTTCACTTGACGGCTTATAAGACATTGGAAATACAAACATTTAGAATTGTAAATTCTTGATTTTTGTGGTGCAACAGAAAAAACCCTGCACTAGGAGTCAGGTAATCTGAGTTTTAGTCCTGACACTGCCATTCTTCCTTAAACTTGAAAATGGATAAAATATTAAGATTTTATGGTTCTAATATATGAATAGTATGTAATAATTAGAGCTGCCATTTACTGAGCATCACCATCTACCCCATGCCAGGAGCTTTATCTACAAGCTGGATGAGATTTTATGGAATGGAGGATGAAATTCAGAGAGACTAAGGAATTTGCTTTAAGCCACATACCTTGTAAGTGATGGGGTTGGGAGGAGAACCTGAGTCTGTCTACCCTGAAGGCCATGATCGCTCCATTACCCCAATCTGCTTCTCTAGCACTGTATCTTGCAGAGTTTTATTATAGACTTTTAGAATCTCTCTGCATGGGGTATGTTTTCAGTCTAATCACACAAGTGTAAGTCAAATGAGTGTAATCTTAACTTCTAAAATACCGCTAATGCATTCATCCACATGGTGATGTTACCAGGGTCACTCAAGGGTGCCAAGTCTTGTGAGGGCCTTCACAGCACTCTGTGAGGACAATGGAAGTGTTTAAAGGCTGGGAAATCAGCCTTCAGGCATGGGTTTGAGCAGCTTAAGAGGCTGGCTGGTTGACTTAAGTTTTTTTCAAACCTAGCATTTATTCTCTGGCTTAGTCCCCCAATCCTGCCAGGTCTCTTTCCTTCCTAATCACTCTTTGGAAAATACTGCTCCCACTTACCTTGGCCATTTTGTGTTTTCAGGACCTGCGCTATCCATCCTGATTTAGGGACTAAGGAAAAATGGGGAGGAAGAATGGGGAAAGGGACTGTCAATAAACAAGGCCCCCCAGGGACTCCAGAAAATAATTTCCGGTACTGCTCTAGACATACAGCCTGGCTTTGGCTCAAGTCATTTTGACCTGTTCTTAGTGAGAGTGAAAGGGAAGCAGAAGTGTGCTTTTAGGTCCAGATCCTTTCCTTGAAAACATCTCAGCTCTGACCCTTGACAAAGGACACTGACCTAGGAAACCAGAGTTGTAGTCCTGGCTTCACTATTAACCCACAGTATACCCGTGGGCAAATTACTTCCCCTCTCCGTCACGATTACCAATCATGTGAAATCAGGCAGCAGACCAGGAGATCAGGCACTCCTTCTGCTGTCTCTTTGTACTATAATCCTCCTCCATCTACTGGTTAAATGTACAGTTACACCTCCGAGGTGTCAAGATCTGGAAGGGCAAGTGTGGACCACCTAGTCAAAACCATTCATTCCACAGGAAATGGAGGCTGAGGAAGGTTGAGCCACTTGCCCAAAATCACACAGAGAGTAAGAGGCAGGGCTGGGCCTAGAAACCCAGTCTCTTCCTTTGCCACTCAAACTCGCTCACACAGGCACAGCTCTTTACATCCCACTTAATCCTGACAACTCGCAGAAGACGGAAATCACTATCGGCCCCGTAACGCACACGAAGAAACCGAGACCCACAGAGTTTCAATATCCCGCCTAAGGCCACAAGAGGTTGGGGGCAGTGCTGGGCAGAGGAACAAGGTTCCCTCTCGCTCGTCCTGGGGCCTCACCCTCGAGGAGGCGGCAACGCTGGTGGAAGACGTGGCAGACCTGGTCCTTGTATAGCGGCTGTTCGTGAATCGGGGGCAAGCGGCGGAACTTGGGGTGCGTCCAGCCAGGGTCCCAGGGCGGGAAGACTGGCCGTGCCAGCCCGGGCATGAAGTGCATCTTCCCCGCGTAGGTGATGGGCTCCAGTCCAGGGATTTCGTACACCCTGTCCAGGGGAGGAGGCTCGGGCTTCCGCGTGGAGCGCACTCCCCACTCGTACGCCCCGCGTCTCGGGGCCTCGCAGCCCCCAAGGCTGAGGAGCCCGGGGCGGACCAGCGCCCGCCTTGCGGGCCCCAACACCAATGCCATACCGACCTGGTCTCTTCAAGACCCCCACCTGGACGCCGCCATCTTCCTGCGCGCAAAGCCTGCTGGGAACGAAAGGGGCCGGAAGCCAGGGCTCGTTTGGTGAGTAGCAGCCACTCCCACCAATCACAGTCAGGGAATCCTTGCCTTGCCCCACCCCGCAGGCCGTTCTCATTTTCTCCTTGGTGGGACCCTCTCCACCTTCCCGGGGAGGGAGGGAACCTGAAGGATCCTCAGGTGAGGGGAAGCGCAGGAGTGTAGGTGAGTGATCATGTGTAGGAGCTGGGACGGGCCTAGGAGAAGAGCACCAGAGCTTCAAAGCTGAACTCAGGGCAACCCTGACTGCTTACGCGCAGTTGGAGCTTGGGCAGGCGTGTCCCTCTGAGCCTCAACCTCGCTCGCTGTGAAAATGGGGCTAGAAGTGCCTCAACCAGCGCGCCTGTACAGCGCCGGTCCGTAGTGGCTGCGCCCTAAGTCTCCTTTCCTCTCCACCCGCTTCTCACCGCTGCGGGCGCTTTTACCCTGCCCCTCCCTTGCGCCTGAGAGTGGCCTTGCCCCACCCCGCACCCGACCGCTCTTACTGCATGCCCCTCCCTCGGCGTCCAACGTGAGGTACTTTCCTCCTCTTTCCTTGGGGTTTCCTTTTCCGCCCCCTGGAAGCCAGGGCGGAGCGGTGGAGGTGTTCCCCGCTCTTTGCGCATCACGTATTTATCCAGTGCCCACTGTGTGTTGGGCACCGTGCTGAGCATCGGGTTTGCGTTGGTGAATAGGACAGATGTGCGATGTAGAGCCTGGAGGTTAGTGGGAGATAACAGACAGAAAGCAAGTAAACATAGCAAATAAAGCAAGTGCGCCACACACACACACACACACACACCCCCGCGCCCCCTCCCTCTCTCTCCCCCCCCCCCCGCCCCCTCCCCTCTCCCCCTCTATCCCTCTCCCCCTCTCTCCCCCTCTCCCTCTCTCCCTATCTCCTCCCCTCTCCCCCTCTATCCCTCTCCCCCTCTCTCCCTCTCTCCCTCTCTCCCTATCTCCCTATCCTTTTTCCCCGATTTTCTTTCTCTTTAGCATTTAACACTGACATACTCTGTATTTTCTGTGTCGATCTTGTTTAATGAGTCTCTCTCCCACTCGAATGTAACCCCCAGGAGGCGGGGCTGTATGTTTCTTCACTGCTGTATCTCCCCTGCACATAGTAAATATATGTTCAGTGAAGGAATACATAGTAGAAACAAATGGGATGCCTGCTAGAGAATGAGAAAGGAGAGTTTCAGGGAGGGCCTCTGAGGGGAGGTGACCTTTAAGCAAGGCCTGAAGGGTGAGGCGAGTTGTGGGACAGAGGCACAACTTTTGTCAAGGCCTGGCTTAAAGGTGGTGCTTCTTGGACTGAAAAGGTAGAGGCTGAGAGGAAGCGTGAAGCTGATCTTTAAACTTCATGACTGACGTGGCCATCTTCACTACCAGTTTCCAAAATACCAGGGGAAGTGGGATTATTAAAATATAGAGAAGGTAAACTTAAGGCAAAGACTGATATGAATAACCCTCACACTGTACCGCAGTTTACAATTCACAGAGCTCTTTCGCTTAACCTCACTTTATCTCTGAAAACCCTCAGGAGTAAGAAATCGGCATAAGGAGGGGACCAGACCTTATTCACTCATAATGCATACCTGGTACATAACATGCAATAACAATGGGTTGAACTGATGTGACACCAGGCTAGGCTGCACACTCTATGAGGGTGGAGCCCGCATTCTACTTACCTCTGCTGTATCCAGCACCTAGCACTGCACTGGCTCCCAGACCTTATTTGTAAACTGAATGAGCACTCGCCACTTACCGGAGCCTTCCATCTGCCAGGCCTGTGCTTGGTGGTAGAATACAGAAAGAATTAGACACCACTCTTCCCCTAAGGGGGTCCCAGCCAGCTAAACCTTCCTGAAATCATAGAACCAGCAGCAGATACAGGTTTTCTGAAACCAAACCCTTTCCTCTATAAGAGAAAGATTTATTGCTCACAGAGGGACTGCCCTTCTGAAACCAATGATAGTAAGTGGTAAGAGAATTTGGACAAGTTCTGATCAGGAAGAGCCTTGGGCACCAGGCAAGAGGAGTGGATTCTATCCAGGAGGCAATGAGGAGCTGTTAAAGGTTCTAAGCAGGGGACTGGTGTGGTCAGAGCTGGTGGCAGGTGTGCTGATGGATGGTATAGGCAGAGACTGAAAACAGATCCTCTGGGCCCGTGGAAAGGAGGAAAAATGGAAAAGATCTTGAAGGTTAAGACTCCTGGGAAATGATTGGTAACAAGAAATAGGATTTCCCTGTCCTCTGGCAGACTTGGTGGTTTGCTCCTCTACTTGTCCACAGACTTGGCCCACATCTTGATCCTAGCACCTAATGCATGAATGAAATTAGTGCCATTGGGAGGCTCCATGGTGCCCATAAAATTCAGTGACAGTTTGGCAAGTTGGGCCCCTGTTCTGTGCCAGCCCAGTGCCAGGCACTGGGAATTGGAGATGAAGACACACACCCCCCCGCCCTCCAGAAGCATGAAGTCTAGTGAGAAAGAGCACCAGCCTGGAAGCAGAGGAGATCCAGGTGTGCATACTAACCTTACCACTTCTGGTTTCCTGATCTCAGTTCTCTTATGAAATGAGGAAGAGCGTGGCCTGCCTACAGCTGGCTGTTGGGAGGATTGAGTGAGTCACTGCAAAGTGCTTGGCACAGACCAACGTGCCCAGTAAGTGACATCTGTTCTTATAACAGTTATTATCTGCTTAGTGGATGACTCTCCCACTAGGCCGGGAGCTCCTCCAGGGCAGGGAAGAGTGTCACTCACCTGTGCATCCCAGCGCCTCAAGCTGCAGCCCCTGCCCAGTAAGTGTGTGAGGCAGGAATGAATGGGAGGAAGGCGGAGGCTGGAGCTCTTAGAGGTGCAGTCAGGCGTCACTTAACGATGGGGATGCGTTCTGAGAAATGCATCTTTAGGCAATTTGGTCATTGTGCAAACATCATAGTGTGTACTTACACAAACCTAGATGGGATAGACTACTGCACACTAGGCTATATGGTCCTAATCTTGTGGGACCACTGTCGAATATGTGGTTCCTCATTGACCGAAACATCATGCAGCTCGTGACTGTAGTTGCATTTTAGAGGAATGCTATTTACATCAAATAATGTTCTGTGACATCGGACCTCCCCTCAGTTCTGTTCTCAGACAAGAGGGAAGGAACACCCTCCTTTCCTTTTATTTGCCTATGGAATTTTAAATGAATAATTTGCTTGCAGGTGAGATGATCAGGTCTATTTCTATATAAACTGTGGAGTCCACGTATGGAATTCCACATATGGAGAACCTTGATAAATCCCAAACTGCCCTCACAGACACATCTCAAAATAAATCATAGCCATTTCACTTGTCCTCACTGATCTTTCAGACTATGTTTACCTAAGAGCCCTGAAACCAAGCCCCTTTCCTTCCTGCCTTCCTTTCATATAACACACATAATTTTAAATATCCACTGTGCTGTTTCATAAAATGAATAAAAAACAGATCTCTGCCCTCAGGGAGTTTACAGTCTCAAAGAGGAGAAAGACATGTAAACATGTAATTTCTGGTGAGTGTGAAGTGCGTGCTGTAAGATAGAGATTCATTCATTTGGAAAGTATTGAGCACCTGCGATGACCAGGGCTGGACCACGTGCAGTGAGTGCTCGCAGGAGGGTTGAAGCCAGGCAGGCCTTCACAGCGGGCTCCAGCCTGTGCCTGTTCTCTTCCGCTACCTGCTCGTCTCTCCCATGGTGTCTGTCACCTGGATCTCCATCTCCAGACTCATGTTCCTAGGCCTATTTCATCAAACAAGAGAACTGGATTGTGTACTTGGGTGCCCCACGGGCACTCACCCCTTCCTCCTTCCCCTAAAACTAAACTCCTTCTCTTGAGCCCACTGTCCACCCAGGGATCCAAGCCAGACACCTGGATGTCCCATTAACCCCTCTATCCCTGTCACTCCCTCACCTCGCATCTAGTCAGTTACTATGTCCTATTAGTTCCCTCTTCAAGATTTCTCTAGCTGACTCCGCCCTCTCATCCTCCCTGAAGCTACCTTGGTCCAGGTCCTTGTCACTTCTCTGGACCATCACAACCTCCTCCTGTTTTCCTGTGGCTGAGGAACAATATGTTCTGAAACCAGACAGACCAAAGTTAAAATCCCAGTGCAACCATTTTAGGAGCTATGTGACCTTGGGTAAGTTATTAAATCTCTCCAGACCCCGATTTTCCCGTCTATAAAATGACACCTCTAGTACCAGCCTCGTTGTTGTAAAGATTAAATGACATGCAGCACTCTAGTGGGTGATCACTGACAATCCTGAGTGAAGGAAACCAGACACAGAAGAATATAATCATGTCATTCTGTTCGTATGCAGGTAAAAACCGGGCAGAGCTGAACAGTAGTCGTTAAGGTGGCAAACAAAGGTGGCAAAACTAAGGAAAAGCAAGGAAATGATTATAGCAAAAGTCAGGCTGGTGGTTACCTGAGGGGAGGGGTGTGATCAGGAAGCGACACATACGGGAGGCTTCTGGGATGCTGGTAGGTTCTTTACTTGACTGAATGGTAGTTACAAAGGTGTTCTTTTATAACATTTTAATTTAGTTTTTATAATTATTTATTAAATTATACATAAATGCACTTCATCATTTAAAATATCTTTTAAGTTCTGTGTGATTTTCTATGTGAAGTGCATAATCCAGCACTGAGAGATGGAAGAGGTCGGAAACCGTGGTGGCCAGTGAGGATTGTTGTGTCCTGTCTGCCTGCCTCCCCGCCAGGCAGCAGATCCCAGGGTTGGTTCATCCCTGTCCCCAGCGCTCACACAGAGCTTGGCACCTGCAGGCCTCAGGGAGAATGGGAGGAATAGAGGTGACCAGAGTGTGACCATGTGTCTTTCCTCTCCCAGACTGAAGGGGACAGGCCTGGGCCCGTGGCCTCACAGAGCAAGGCCTGCTCTCCCTCCCAGGCTGTCCAGGCCCCGCTGACGATGGACGAGAGGGAGGAGGACGACGATGAGGAAGCCTGGCTGCAGCTCCGGCCTGTGGAGCCCCTGCCCTCCCAGTGCTGTGGCAGCGGCTGCTCACCCTGTGTGTTTGACCTCTATCTCCGAGATCTGGCAAGATGGGAGGCAGCCCGAGTCAGCAAAGACAGGAGCCTGCTGAGTGGGGAGGAGTCACAGGTGAGGGAGGGCTGTCCCTGAGACAAGAGGGCCAGGGTGGCAGCATCTACCTGGCTTCGGCCCTGCTGGGGGTGCCTGCTCGGGGAAGCTTTCCCTCACTCTGTACAGCAGAGAGAAAAGAGTGTGCTTAGCAGAAGCAGACAGATCCAGGTTCAAAGGCTAGCCCTGAGCTGGGCATAGGGGGTCCCAGGAGTGAATTGGCTGTGGGCATTTTACAGGAGAGAGATCCGTGAGGCATGGCATTCAGAGAAGGCTTCCTGGAGGAGGTGCAGGTGGGGTGGAATATTAAGGGCAGTGGGCTGAGACTTAGAAGACATGAATTTGAGTCCCTGCTCATGATGTGGTCTTGGACAAGTAAGTCACTACCACTCAGGCCTCAGTTTCCCCACATGTAAAATAAGCCTATTGGATTAGATAATCTTTAAGGTCCCATTAATTTCTAAATTCTGTGAATCTGGATTTTAGCAGGTTTGAAGGATGGGTATGTCGTTCATGCATTGGAGATGAGTGTACTGGGTAGAGGGCACAGCTTGAGCAAATGGAGACTCCCAGGTAGGAGGCAGCAGGGTGTTCTTGGGAGGATGGAGAAAAGTCTGGCATCTGATGCATGGGAGATAAAATGAGGTTTGTGGGTTATCCACAGGGGCCTTGAGTGTCCAGCTAGAAGGCTGCACTTTATCCTGGGGCTTAGGGGAGCCATGGAAGGCTTAAGAGCAGGGGAGCTCAATGTAAAGTACCCTGGCATTCTTAGATCAGAGATGAGAGGGAAATAAGGTAGGACTACTGTCTGTTACACGGAAAACTTAGCAGCCAAGACAGCCTCTCCTTGGGGAGGGTGGGGTGGGTGCTTGTGGGTGCTTATGTGTCTCTCGAGCTCCAGCTTCTAGCTGTTGGATCTTTTCCCGTTGCAGAGCTGCCCCTCCAAGCTGAGCCCAGACACCTTCCTGGCCTTCCGCATCACTGCCGTGCACAGACTCACCAAGGACACCTACCATGTCCGGTTTGCTCTGCCCGGGAAGAGCCAGCTGGGCCTGCGACCTGGCCAGCACCTCATCCTACGGTACACTCAGGTAGTGGGGGGACCAAGCTTTGCAGCCCTGCTTTGCCATTTGCTAGCTGTGTGGCCTAGGCGACTTGCTTAACTCCCTTAAGCCTCCATTTGTCATCTTCAAAATAGACATAGTAATGCATGACTCAAAGGGTTCTTGGGATCGAACTAGATAATGCATTTGCCTAATAAATAATAATAATAATAGCAGACACTTCTTTAGCACTTACTATCCAAGGCACAGTTCTGTGTGCTTATGTGCATGGACTCATCTAATCCTCACGAGATCCTGTGGGGTAGGTACCACTGTCATACCTGATAGGAAACTGAAGTCAGAGAGGTTCAGTACATTGCCCAAAGTCACACAGTTAGGATATGTTGGAGCCAGGATTTGAAGGCAAGCAGTTTGGCTCTAGAGCCTGTGGTATCCTAATGTGACTGATAGAAACGACACTGTCATTGAGAATAAGGGACTTGCCCAGTATTACATAGCTAATAAATTGTGGAGCCAGAGTTCAAAGCCAGACAGCCTGGCTCCTGAGTTACACTCTTAGCCACTCCTCTGAACTTCCTCCCAGCCTGCTTTTGTGTTCTCTTCCCACCTCGATCCCCACCCCCACCTGCCCAGGGACAAGACCTTTTGGGACCTCCAGCTGGAGGTGTCTGCCAGGCAGTCAATTCTGTGCATCGGAGGCTCAGGAGAGAGATTGGAGCTACAGACTCGGATGTGGGAATCATCGGCGTGTACCTGGACGGCATTTGGGAGCATGTGTGGCATGGGAAGAGGGAAGGGCAAAGGACTGAATCTTGGCAGCTCCGGTATTTATGGTGTTGGCAAGAGGAGGAGGAGCGAGCAAAGGAGGCAGAGGTGCAGCCAGAAGACAAGGAAAACCAGGAGAGAGCATGTTACTGGTCACTCTCTGGCCACTTGCCTTGCCCTGACCCCTGGTGTTCGTGCCTGGCTCGTTCCAGCCTGTGCCCTGGCTGGTGGTCCTTAAAGCTCCCTATTCTGGTGGACAGGAGGGGCCACAGGGCAGGTCACAGCCCCATGCAACCCTCTATGCGTAAATCAGGGACCCCCAGAACTCTCTGCCTCGAGGCTGGACTTTCTCCACCCTCTCTGCCACTCCAGTGACATTCCTAACACACGCAGCTGACTATGTCACTCCCTGTTTCCATACCCGGTGCTCCACGATGCCTCCCCAGTGCCATGCTAACCCAGGGCCCCAGCTTCCTTTCCCACCAAGTTCTTCTCCCTCCCCCTCCCCTATACTTGCCTCTCATTCCAGCCTCGTGATCCACTCACCAGTGCCTGACTTGGCCTGCATTATCCTATCTCTAAGCTTTTGCTCAGGCAGTTCGCCCTGCCTGGAATTACTTCCCTTCCTGTCCCCATTTTCACCTGTCAGTGGCCTGCTCATCCTCTAATTCCCAGCTCCGGGAGGCCTCCTGAGGTTCCTCCGATGAGAGTGGTCGCTTTCTCCAAAGCGTGCGAGTATCACTTCTGTGGTAGCAAATGTCCTGGAGCTCTTTGCATCCAAGCCACGCCATATGTCTGTTTGTTATTTCCTCATTTGTTTCACAAGCATTTGTTGAGTATTTCTGTCCAGCTCTCCCACTTTTGATGCATTAGGATGGGGCCTTTTTAATCTTTGCATACCTCAGAGAAGAGAGTTCGTACATCGTAGGACTGGAGAGAGCAGTGCTTAGGAGCTCCTGGAAGCTCTGAGGATTGGTGCTGAGGAAGCTGGCTCTGGAGTCAGGCAGAGCTGTGGGTGGGTTCTAGCTGTGTGACCTCAGGCAAGTGACTTCCCTTCTCTAAGCCTTGGTTTCGTCATTTGGCTTATTATTTGAATTAAATAAGGTAATGCATATAATATGCTTGGTGCATAGTAGGCATTTAATACAAGGCTGCTATTATTATTATTACATACTGAGGATCATCATCCTGGCCTCTCGATGACCTTGTGGAGAGGGTTCATACATGGGGTCGGGCTTTGACCTAGGGCTCCTTAGAGGATCCTTCCAATTCTCATGCTCCTGGCACGTGGCAGTAAGTGTTTAATAAATGTTGAACATGGTAGTTTTATCTTTATCACTCTGTGGTCAAGAAGAGGTCAGGAAAATCCATGGCAATGTCCTCAAAGCAGCTCATATCATCTGTGTACTTTTTGAAGCACATTCCCATGTGTAACCCCAATGGAACCGTACAACAGGGACACAGATGGCTGTCGCTGTTTTACAGAAGGGGCAGCTAAGAGATTAATGACCAGGTCTCACATGGCAGTGGGGGAGCCCAGTTCTTTTTTTTCTGCTCCACCTTGCCTGCCCCTCAGTGAAGACCACTAGGGGTGACCAGACCCCACCTTCGCTTTCACCAGCCTGGCACAGAGTAGGTACCTATAACAGTTTGTTGACTGACTGGCTGACTGCCTGACTGAGTGCTTCTCTTTCCCAGAGGGATAGTAGATGACTTAGAAATTCAGAGAGCTTATACGCCCATCAGCCCTGTCAACGCAGAAGGATACTTTGAAGTTTTAATCAAGGTAAGCTGACTCACATTGATGCTCTAAGATGCTGTGGATTGGAACCTCCATTTGACAGCTTAGTTGGGCTGGGGCAGTTCCCAGCCATGTGGGAAAAACCACTGTTCACATGGGAGGAGGCTGGCTTGAGGGAAGAGTGGGGGTAGTGAAGGAGGCTTCTCCCATTTCCTTCTTTCCTGGGGAAGGGAGGGCTGCTGGACCACCAACAGAGGGCATATTCCTGACAGATTTATGAAAAGGAGGCTCAGACTGAGAAAGGTAAAGCTGCTCCTTCTTACTTTCTTACCTGTTGGTGGAAAATGAGCACTGAGCCAGGGGAAAAGGGGCACCTACTATGTGCTGGGCACATAGTCCAGAGATGAGTCAGACACGGTGTCTGCTCTTGGGCAGGGGACCAGAACAGGACAGTACAGTGTGATAGACACCGTGACAAGAGGCCCCAACCCAACTCAGGGCAGCTGGGGTGCAGGGAAGGCAGGGGGGCTTCCCAGCAGAAGCTGTAAGATTGGTTGTATGTTTAAGGTAAGGAGTGGAGAACCACAGGGGAAACATGGGAAGGCAGCTCTCTGTGCTGGAACAGCACCTACAGCGGCAGAGGAGGCATGATTTGGGGAACTGTTAGTCATTTGTCCTGGATCAGAAGGGGGCGTGCAGGAAAAGGTGGGACATGGAGGACCTTGTGGACCAAACTAACGTGAGATCACCTGCCAGGGAGGTGGGCCGGGGCGTTTGAGTTGGGCCTTGAAGAAGGAGTCCAAATTGGCAGTGGCAGAGAATGGCATTCCAGGCCGAGGGGACAGATAACCAAAGGCAGGGAGGGGTGAAACGGAACAGGGGGTCTTGTGGGAACTGTCCCCAGTCTCAACGGCAGGAGGAGAAGTGCTTGTGGGGGCAGCCAAGGTGTGTGGGGGAGTTGGCAGAGATGAGATGAACAAAGTGGGCTGGATACAAATACCCCAGAGACCTGAGGAACAGGCACCGAATGTATAAGAAGTCATGAAGGTCGAATCACGTGGAAAAATAATTAGGTGGAACTACATGAAGTTGCTGATGTGCTAATGTATTTAACCTACAGAAACAGCAGTTTCCTGTGGGTCAACCTAATATATAGTTCTAGATCATCATTTCCCAAATGGAATGCTAGGAAACACCAGTATTTAAGAGTAGCTTTCACATCCTTTACCTTCCATGTAGGCCAGGAATTATCCCATTTCATTGATAAGCAAACTGAGGCCCCAGCAGGACCCGAGGCTCCACAGCTAGTAAGAAGGGCAGCTGGTGGGTGAGCCCTGACTCCTGACTCCAAGAGCCCAGCTCCAGCTCCCACCTTCCCTGCCTGCCTGCAGAGCCCGAGCGTTTGTTCCCTCCCACATAAGCTTGGATGGGATCCCTTCTCCACACAACTGTTTGTCTGAGAGATTCCACAAATCCTCTCCAAATGGCCTGCTTCCCCAGGCTGCTTGTCCGGGTGTGTTTCTGTTGAAAGGATGAGCCTGGAGACAGTTCTTCAGGGCAGCTGGATCTTACCCAGCTGCAAGGCTGATTTTCTCCTTCGTTTACCGGAAAGCCTCTCTTTAGAGCGATGCTTAATTATCCCTAAGCCACTGGCCAGGAAGAGCTGGAAATGTCTGCAGATTGGTAAGGCAGACGGGTTTTTTTCAGTTTGCCCTCCCATGTAGATGGGAAGGAGGAACTCCCGTTTCTCAGGAACCTTCTGGCACCCGGCACTGCTTCTGGCTATTTTCTTGGTCTCCTTTCAACCTCATAACCACCCTGCAAGAGTAGATCATATTATCCCCATTTTACAGATGAAGAAACTGCAGCTCAGAGAGATGATGTCATTGTCCCAAGGCCCCTTTGGGTAATATGATCCCAAGTGGAAGAACAGAAGTTCGATTCAGTTCTGTTTAACACGTGTCTGTTGGGCATTTCCTCAGTGCCAGGCTCTGTGTGGGTGCTGGAGACACAGAAGAATCCTTCATCTCCCCTTGAGTGCTATCTGTGCCATGGGGCCTCTAAGGCACAGCTAGGCTGTGCCTCCCACAAGGCTGGGGCCAGAAAATACGGTGTGCTCGGAGACACAACCTCCAGCAAGTTAGGAGAAACACTGTAGCCTTCTTCCCAGACCTCTCCCAGGTGAGCCAACGACTTCCCTTGCTTTATGCATATGGTGCCTGAGGAAGTCATGGATGGTGCCAGAGGTGGCTGTGGGTGCATAAAAGCATGTCTGGTGACCAAAGCCCTGTCTCTCCTTCAAGGCTGGTGATAATCTCACTCTAAACCCCCTTCCAGTCCCGTCTCCCAGTGCTTCCCCCTCACCCCATCCTACCATGTCCACTTGCTGTAGCCAGAACATGACCTGGGCTGTCCTACCCCTGACCATACCATACCTGATGCCCAGAATCCTCTCTGCCCTTCCTCAGTGAATTCGATCTTACTCAGCCTTCAAGGTCCAGCTCAAAGGCTTCCTCCTCCAGGGAGTATCCTCAGTCCCCCTCCACTGGAAGTGATTGCACCTTCTCAGGGATCTCCTAGCACTTGATGCTTCTGATAGGGTATTATGTAGTCTCTGCCTTGTGTATATCTGAGACTTAGGTCCCTCCTAGATTGGGAGCTCCTTAAGGGGAGAACCTGAATCTGGATTAATTAATTAATTAATTCATTCAGATATTGATGAAGTCCTTTCTATGGTTCAGGCACTGGCTGCCTTCATGGAGCTTAAGGTCCGGCTGGCTGCCCTGCAGCCCCAGCATGGTGCCTGGCCCAGAGCGGGTAGGCACCCAGGAAATGCAGACTGCTCTTCCCCATGGAGAAATCCCCTCCACAACCTTCATTTTTTTCATCCAGCTAGGAGACAGTATAGGATAATGCAGAGATGGCACATGAGTGGCCTGCAAACTGACTCTAGCCTATAATATATTTGGTTTTGGTCTGCAGTGTTTTAAAATTTTGAATTAATTGCTGACATTTCAAAAATGGGAGATTTTTCGTAAAATATGGATTCCTGCCCTTGTTGGAAAATCAGAAGATCTGGGATCATGGGCCCCACAGACTATGTATTGGAATCTGCAAAGTGGCTTCCTCCTTTAGAAAGAGTATTCACTCACCAGTATCCCGCAGTCACCACCACTCACTCCTGTCTCCCTGACACTGAGACTGAGTGTTAGTTGCCATTAATCATCTCCTATCCAGTTCTCCACTGGGTTGTGTTACCTGCATGGCCCTGCAGTTATTTGCATTTGAGACCTCTGTAGTTAAGGCTGTAGGTCCTGTGGATTCTCATCCCAGTCTCACCATCTCCCTTCTGTGTACTGTGAGGTCTCCCTGTGTTTGCTCCCAGTGCTACCAGACTGGGCTGATGTCCCAGTATGTCGAGTCCTGGAGAGCAGGAGACACGGCTTTCTGGCGAGGACCGTTCGGAGGCTTTTGCTATCAGCCAAACCAGGTCAGTACCAGCAGGCTAAGTCCTTCCAGCTTAGCTTCCAGGACTTCGATTTTCATGTTTTAGGCTATAGAATCTCACTGCACCATTCTTCCTGAGCCCAAACTCAATCCTGAGAGTATCACTGGGATTAGACATGGGAGGGGATGCAATAGGCACTAAGAAACAAAACTGCCTGCCCATACTCCAGAACTATCCACGCCTGCCCATTGCTTAGAAAAATCCAGACTTGTGTATGTGGTATTTAGGGCCCCTATACCATCTGACCCTCAGATACCTTCCAGTGTCTCATTGGATTTACAAGACTATGGAGACCGCTCCCTCGATACACCCCAGCGCTCGCGGCTTGGGAGCCCACTGCTTCACAACCCAAAGGCTCTTCCCCTCGTCTTTGCGGAGTGTTCACATCCTTCTTTGATGTTCCAGGGAGGAATTAGTTATTAATTTCTCACCAGTCACTACATATCTGGAAAGCAGTATGTACGAGGAGTCTTAAGAATCTTTAAATCCTTTGGCCCAGTAATTCCACTTCGTGGAAGTCTGTCGTCTGGAAAGAATCCAAAATACTGACTCTTTTGCACATGTTCATTGCAGCTTTATTTATGATAGCAAGAAATTGGAGACAACTGAATATCCAACAACAGGGGAGCAGTTAAGTACACTGGGTTACAGATATTTAATAGAATATTATCTTGGATTTTAAAATTATGTTTGTAAATGATGTTATATGTTTATGCTATAAGACCAAGTGACAGACACTAGGTAAAAAACTGAATATACAGCAGGTTGGGAAATTAAGTTAAAATGCACAGAAAAAATATGAAAATAAAAAGCAGTGAAATGTTAGCAGCTCTGGGTGGTAGAATTGTGGGTGACTTGTTTTCTTCATTATACTTTCCAAATTATCCACAGAGAACACCTATTACCTTTATAATTAGGAAAATAAAAACAAATGGAAAAGAAGGAATCATTCTCTCTCTCCATTCTTTTTGTTTAATTGAAAAGTAGCTTTTATGGATATTTTTCTTATTACAAATGCAGCACATGTTCATTACCAAAAAACTCCGCAGCGATAGAGCGGCAAAAGGAGGAAATAAAGAGCACTTGCAGGCCGTCCACCCAGACACACCAGCCTTACTGCCTTGGCGTATGTCCTTCCAGATCCTCTTCCACACGTGTGTACATAACAGCACACGCACACACATATGTGGGTATAACAATAATATCAAACATGCACATGGCACCTCCTCTGTGCCAGGCTCTGATTTTAGCACCTGCCGTGTAGTAACTCATTTAATCCTCACAGCAGCTCTTGGGAAGTGCTACGCCCAGCTTACAGACATGTGCACACATTGATACTCTTCTTTAGCATTCTCCCAGTACTAACCACGCTCAGCCTTGCATTTCAGCTGTGGGTGTCCCTGTGTCCCCCAGGCCCCTGAGAGCAGGGACTGGGAATTGTCCCTGTCTCCTCCCAACCTGGAGGGGCCCACCTTTTCCAGTGGAGCCTCTTGGTGCCTGTGGATGCTGCTTCTCTGCCTCTGCAGAATCGACTGGAAAGCCTCTGTACTTCTTATCTAGGGAGGTCGTAGGGCCTGGCCGTGACGAAAAAGCGATGGCATCTCACGTGTTAAGATTCGGCCACTGAAACTGTGGCTGAGGCTGGCCCTCTCCTGTGAGGACACCAGGTGGTGCCGCCCTCTTCGCAGCCCTGCCTTGCCACTCTGCGGTCATCCTCAGTTTGTGGATGTCATGTCAGCCCGGAGATTGGCACGTTAGTATCTGTGTGTGCGTCTGTTCCACACACATTTCCCAGGTGTCCATCTAGGGCACCTGGTCAGACGAGGCCCCTGTCCTCCAAAAGCTCATAGTCTGATGGGGAGACAGACACACAAACAATGACGACAACACAGTGTGGCCAGTGTTAGGAGGGGCGCACAGAGGGCTGTGGCAACACAAAGGGGGTCCCCTCATCTGCCCCGGGCTCAGGAGAGCCTGCGCAGCGAGGGGAGAGAAAGGAGGAGCACGGCAGAGTGAAGCCCGGGAGGCTGGGAGAGCGCTGACACAGGACGGGTGACAGGCCAGCAGTGGGGCCTCAGTGGGGGAAGGACCCTGATGGTATGAAGCCCTGTGCTCCGCACCAGGCACTTGGTGTCATCTCATTTAATCCTCACGACGGTTTTGAGGTAGCCGCTATTATGGGGAGGTGCTATTAGGTTTTTACCAGTGAGGAAACCAAGGCTCAGAGAGGTGAAAGAATTTGCCCAGATCGTATGGCTGGGGATTTACACTCAGATTTGTCTGACTCCTGATACTCCAGGAAGTATTTCATGCAGTAGTGTGGTGTGCAGTGGCTGTCAGTAAAGAGAGTGAAAACTCGGACTGCATTCACAGAGGTCTAATCTCTAGAATGATGGAGGTGAATACCTCACTGCATGGGTAAGGCACCAACCTTAAGGAGGATTGCCCCACTTTAGGGGGCCTAGAGTCAGGAAATGGGTTCAGTGAGGAGGAGTTGGTGGAACTGGGGCCTCTTTGGGGTGGAAGCTCACTTTTATCGCATGGCTGTTCCATGCCAGCACTGTGCTAGGCACTTATGGATAGTATCTTATTTAGTCCAGAGAAGAGCAGGCTCAGGGGTCCAAGCTGGGACCCTCAGGTCTCTTCAGGGCTGCCCTGGGGCAGAGGGAGCAGAGGGCAGGGGTGGGTTGGGGGCGGTGGGCAAGCCTCTGGTGGGAGCAGACTTCAGCTCAGTGTGAGGTGGGAAGACCTCCCTGGCAAGGGGAGTCAGCCTGTAATAGAGCAAACTGCCTTAGGAGGTAGTGGGCTACTTGTCAGCAGAAGTACGTGAGCAGAGTCCTGTGGGGATGCTTTAGAAGGCAACCTAGCCACTTGTAGGATGGGCTACACCGTTAGGTTCCCTTTTAGCCCCCACATTCTGTGATTTCAGTTGCTTAGACCTCACGAGTTGTGACCTTTCACAAGTAAGGATGGCTTCCTAGAGGAGGTGGAGGGGGCATCTCTTGGGGGACATCAGGCAGGGCAGTGCCGTCCGAGTGAAGCATGCCCAAGAAAAGGCCCCATAGTGGGTGGCAGGTGGGTGGGGAGTGACCCCCCTGCCCCCGCCATCATATTCCTGTCCCATCCCCAGTACGGTGAGCTCCTCATGCTGGCTGCGGGCACCGGCCTGGCCCCCATGGTGCCCATCCTGCAGAGCATCACAGACAACGCAGATGACGAGACCTTTGTCACCCTGGTCGGCTGCTTCAAGACCTTTGAGGGCATCTACCTGAAGACCTTCCTCCAGGAGCAGGCCCGTTTCTGGAACGTCCGCACCTTCTTTGTACTCAGCCAGGTGAGCCCACGGTGGTGACTTGCTTCCCTGATTGAGGCTCTGCTGTCCCCTTGCACCTGTCCTAGTACCTGTTGTGGCCTCTCTGCCCCAGGCCATAATAAGAATCCCTGCCACTGGTGGAGCCCCCACCACACGCCTGGCTAGGAAGGCCAGTATCGTCATGTTCACTATGCAGATGAGGGAGCTGCCCCTCAGAGAGGCGAAGGTGCCAGCGGTGTCCTGCTGCTAGATGGGTGAACCCAGGCTTTGAGCCGGGGCTGTCTGATTCACCGTGCTTTGCTGCCTGCCGTCCGCCCTCTGGCATCATCAGGTGTATGGCTGGGGGCCTGGCTGTGGAGTCAGCGGGTCAGGCCACTGACCTCTGTAGGCTGTGATAAGCTCTTTGAGGCAAGGACACGTGTCTGGATGACACGCTCCTCAGTGCTCAGCTCTTAGGGCCCTGCCACGTCACGTCGTCCCTGCGTGGGAGGACTTTTGCTCTCAGACTCGCCAAGCTGCAGATGCTCCAGCTGGAAGCGACTGCCTCATGGCCCCTCGCCCCTCTCATTCCCCATCCCCTCCGTGCACTCAGGCCTCCCTTCCCAGGCGTCCGCTCTGGCACGCCCTCAGCCAGGCCTTATCTCAAGCCAGGCCCTCAGCTCTCTTGTTCACCTGCCGTCCGCTGGTCTGTAGCTTTAGTTCTCTTTCCTGCACCCCCTGGGTTGGGGTCCCCTGCTGGGGCCTCTCCTCCGTCCTCTTGCTCAGGGTCAGCCTCATTGCCGTGTACTCTGGAGCACCCTTCTTATCAGTTTCCTCTTTGAAGCAGCTTTCGAGGGTCCCTAAACGCTTACGTGATCCTCGACATTGTGGCTGGGTGGGGGCTGTCAGGAAACACCAGAGGTCCTAGGATCCCCAGGGGCCAGGGTCTGCGGGCCTGTCCCTGGGCAGGTGCTCAGCGGTGTGAACGTGGAGAAGGCCATGCTTGGTGACCATTAGTAGCAGCAGCAGTGCCCAGGGCAGGTGCAGCCCGAGGGGGTGGGGTGAGGAAGGCCCGTGCTGCTAGGCAGCCTATTCAGCCCTGCCAGAGAGCCTGGTCAGGGAGGCAGGAGGAGGGGCAAGAAGGCAGGAAGATGACCTGCTCCCTGCCCTCCGGGCGCTCACCTGTGTGTGGGGTGACAGCCACAGGGACGCCGACAGCGCTCCCTTCACTGAGCACGTTCTCTGTGCCTGGCGCTGTTCTAAGCACTTGGTGTGTGTTAGCTCATTTACTCCCCACCAGAATCTTAGGAGGCTGGTACTACCATCATACCCGTTTTACAGATGTGGAAACTGAGGCAGAGAGAGATTAAGAACCTTGCCCAAGGTAACACAGCGAGCTGGTGGCCATCTGGGTTGGACCTCCGTGGTCCTGATCCAGAGGCCGTGCTCTCACTGCTCATCAGTGTAAGACAGCACAGGGATAGGTGCTACGGAGGGGCTTTAGGATGCTGGCAGCAAGCAGGGAGGGCTTCCAAGAGGAGAGGGCATTTGAGCCTGGGCTTGAGGGTAGAGTTAAAGTTCACTGGCAACGGAGGGCCTTCGCCCTGGGCCGGGGCTTCAATGAAGCTGGTGGCCTGGGATGGCCTCAATGGCAAGGGCAGGTGAGGGGCTGTGGAGTGAGAGGTGCCTCCTGCCCACCCTTACCCCCTCCACTCGGGGTGCTCCCTCTCCTGCCTCGGCCACAGTGACGGCGTCCTCACAGGTCTCCCTGCTCCAGCCACTCCCTGCCGATTTGTCCTTCGTCCTGAAGCCGGAAGGGCAGCTCTGAGCACGCCACCACCCTGCTTCCAGCCATTCCCTGGCTCCCCACTGCTTTCAGGACCATGCCCAGGCCCCCGTGCCTGTGCCCGCCCTCTGCAGCCTCGCCTCCTGGCCCCCCTCCCTGCACGCTGTGTTCTGCTCTCCTGGTCTGCTTGTGGTTGCAAGTGCTCGATGTCGCTGGCTGCTGGGCCTTTGCTCGTTGTGCTCCCCCTGCCAGGAGCGCTTCTCCCCCCCTCTTCACCCAGCACCTGCTCATCCCTCACATCTCTCTGCTGAGGTGTGATTCCACCGTGGAGGCTTTCCCTGAGCACCCAGCCTGGCGTAGCTGTTTCTGCCGTCACAGCCCAGCTCTCCTCCTTCACAGCACCCACCTGCTGTGCCATCATTGTTTACAGGTCCTCCCCCCAACCTGAGCAGCAACCAGACCCAGCGCATCTCTGGCTGTGCAGTTGGGGTGAGCTGAGCTGAACCAAACAGGCCCGAGGGAATTGGGCAGCAGGAAGGAGAGGCGAGGCCAACGGGCCCTGCTGGTCCCTCCCCTCGAGGGCCCTTCTGGAGGGTCAGAGCGGGGAGGAGCACAAAAAGATCCAGATCATGACAGAGGAGCCCCTGTCAGCACCACAGTGCTGTCCTCAGAGGGCCCTCGGGGTCATGGCCCTGTGAATGCCCCTGGGTCCAGAGGCTGCACTCATGGAGCTTCGACCAGGGCTTCACCCTGCACTCATCACGGGAGCTCAGAGAGGTCACGGCCACTTAGCCAGGGAGTGGCAGCAATGCTTGGATTCCAGCACCCCTGTCCTGTCTCTGCTTCCCCCCAGGAACTAGAAGCTCGCCTCAGTGGGGCCTGCTGAATTGCGAGTCCTGCCGTGTTGTTTGTTTTGTTTTGGGCTCTGGTTACGTGGTTTCTTCTTTGTTAGAAGTTTTCAAACTAGATATACTTAATGATTCGTACACTTTTCTCTACGTATGTTATACTTCAACATAATGTTTACTTAAAAGAAGTCCCTCCAAGTCAGCTGGTGGTGGAGGTTTTCTTTTGTGACCCTGAGGACGAAAGCCACAAGCTGAGGCCAGAAGGCAGGAAGAGAAGGAGCCCGGGTCCCTCGGGCACATACCCCTGGATGCTACCTCTAGCCTTGTTATGAGGGAGAACGAAACCTGTCCCTTGGTGAAGGCCGTGCTGCCTGGCATCTCTGGGACACAGAGCCAGAGTGAGGCCTGGGACCTTGTCCGTGTGGAACAGCTCCGTGTCCCCAGTCCCTAGCACAGTGCCAGGCACAGAGTGACCACTCAGAAAATGCTGGTTAAATTAACAAGTTGATTGAACCTTAAAACAAATGAACAAGTTATGCTCCGAGAGTGATGGTGATGGATAGCCTTGGAGAGATGCTGGGAGACCACGGTGATGAGGAGAAAACATTCCCCCAGAGTGACAGGTGCAGCGGCCCCGGGAGGCAGTGAGAAATGGTGGGGCCCGAGTTCTAGTCCTGCCGCTGCCCCTGTCTCGTGTGTGCCCCAGGGGACATCCGTCCTCCTCCCTGTGCCTCTCCTGTTGTAGGATAACCACCCCGCACAGGCTTGTGTGAGGGTGCTCTGAGTCCCAGCGTGAGGAAGTGCCTGGCTCCTGGTAGGGTTGGGTGAAGGTTGGCTACCCACCCTCTGTGCCACAGTTGCCTCATTTGGCAGAGAAGAGCTGTCTATGTGAACTCTGAGGACCCCCCAGTAGTCACCCCCACTGTTTCTCATCATCCCAGGAGGACTCCCTGGAGCAGCTTCCCTGGAGTTACCGGGAGAAGACCCGCTTTGGCCGCCTGGCTCAGGACCTGATTGAAGAGCTGGTCGGCTCCTGTCGGAGAAAGCCGTTTGCATTGGTCTGTGGCTCGGCCGAGTTTACCAAGGACATGGCCAGTTGCTTGCTGCACGCCGGCCTGGCCGAGGACTCCTACTTCCTCTTCTAGGTCTGGCCTCCCTTCCAAAGCCCAGGGGGGGGGCCTGCCATTGGGTCACAGGAAGGAGCCCAGACTGGAAAGAAGACAAGGGCGGAAGACCGTCCCTAACTCTCCAGGTGACCTTGGGCGAATGACTTTACCTCTGTGCACCTCCCTTTCTCATCTACCTGCCATGAGGTCACTGACTCTCTCAGGCTGGCATCCTGCGTGTGGAGGGAGGCGGGGGCTGCAGGAGCCCCAGGGAGGAGAGTAACCAGCCTGGCAGTCTGAGCCCCAGGATGAGTAGGAGTTGGCAGGAGAGGGGGCTTCCTTGGTTCCTCAGATTAGAGGGCTTTGGAGGGGCTCCCGCAGGACCCTGCCCTGCCGTGACTGTTGCAAAGCCTACTTTCCCTGGGCTGTGTGTCCCTCTTGTGGCCTTAAGGCTGGCTCAGAGGAGGCGCTCGCTGAGTGTTTAGGGAATGACCATAGAGGCTGAGAGCTCTTCGGAGGAGGAACTCGCCTTCTGTTCCTCCAGTGCCGTGAGCATGACACAACGAAGGACTTGGGTTCTGTGACCTGACCACGTTCTCAGAGCGAGGTGGGGCCCTGGATTACCTTTATTTTTTATTGGCCCTGGGCCTTTCCTTCTGCAGACGGCTGCTCTCTTCCCTGGCTCTAGAGCCCAGCCCAGAGTCCTTTCTCCAGCAAAAGAGGCACGGAATCAAACACCCCTCCCTCCTGCAGGCAGCCAGCTCAGCCCACGCCTTAGGCTCAGGCGCCCTGGTGACGGTTGCTATGGAGATCTAAAGATAGAGCAGGAGTCAGGAGACCTGGGTCCGTCTCCCTGCTCTGCCCGCTGAGCGGCTGCTGATTCCGATCCACCCACCCCTCCCCTCCACCCCGCCCCCTCCATCCTGCATGGGACATGCCCTCCCCAGGGAACCCGGCGCTCCCGGCAGTGCACTGCAGTTAATGAATTCTGCTTTCGCAGCCTGGGCTCCAGTGTGCGGCACCAGCTCAGGCTGGCTACAGGCAATCCCAGAATTGGAATATTAAGCCGTGGCATCTCAGAGTTAGAGAACCATAGAATCATAGAGTTAGAATTTTACAGTCGTAGAACCGCAGTCCCCATCATATCAGAGATTAAAGTTCAAGATTCCAAAAAGCATCCAAGGTACCAGACTTATTGTATCCATGGGGAAACCAAGGCCAATGAGGCTAAGTGACCTGCCCAGGGTAAAACAGTTCACGGAGGGCCAGCTCTAGAAGCCAGGTCTCCCAGTGTCAGCCCCATGCTCAGAGTTCTGTGCCAGTGGTTTACAAACTGGGCTCCCGGGACACTAGGGTTCCTGACATGGCAGCAGTGAAGGGACAGCCAGATGGGGTCTCCAGACCCCCCTTCAACCAGAGCAGTTCTATTTTTTTTTTTACTATTTTTTTAATTGATGTCATAATAGTTTATAACATTGTGAGATTCCAGTTGCACATTATTATTTGTCAGTCACCACATAAATGTGCCCCTTTACCCCCTCAGCTCCCCCCTGGTAACCACCAAACTCTTCTCTCAGTCCATATGTTAGCTTATATTCCACGTATGAGTGAAGTCGTACAGTGTTTGTCTTTCTCTGTCTGGCTTATTTCACCTAACATAATACCCTCCAGGTCCATCTATGTTGTTGCAAATGCGACGATTTTGTCTTTTTTATGGCTGAGTAGTATTCCATTGTATATATATATACCACATCTTCTTGATCCAATCATCAGTTGAGGGACACTTGGGTTGCTTCCACATCTTGGCTATAGTGAATAATGCTGCAGTGAACATAGTGGTGCCTAAGCCTTTGTGGATTGTTGATTTCAAGTTCTTTGGATAAATACCCAGAAGTGGAATAGCTGGATCATAAAGTATTTCTGTTTTTAATTTTTTGAGAAGTGTCCATACTGTTTTTCATAGAGGCTGCACTAGTTTGCATTCCCATCGGCAGTGAATGAGGGTACCCTTTTCTCCACGTCCTTTCCAACATTTGTTAGTTTTGTCTTGGTGATTATAGCCATTCTCAAAGGTGTAAAGTGATATCTTACTATAGTTTTGATTTGCATTTCCCTGATGATTAGTAATGTTGAACATCTTTTCATATGCCTGTTAGCCATCTGTATATCTTCCTTGGAAAAATGTCTGTTGATATTTTCTGCCCATTTTTTGATCAGGTTATTTGTTTTTTTGTTGTTCAGTTGTGTGAGTTCTTTATATATTATGGAGATTAACCCCTGTTGGATATATGATTTGCAAATATCTTCTCCCAACTGGTGGGTTGTCTTTTCATTTTGATCTTGGTTTCCTTTGCCTTGCAGAAGCTCTTTAG